ACTTGCAGCTCAAGCCTGGCCAACTACTCACTCTTGGGGTCATTTCCACCAGCCAGCTCAATCTGAAGCTTCTTCTGGTATTCGACTTCCTCGTCAATCTTGGCCTGGTATGCCCTCTGGGCCTCCTTCTGGCGCAGAAGACCCCGCTTCTCTTTCTTCTTTTCACTGCGGTTGGTCATGCGGCGACTGTTCTTCTTGGCCTCCTTTGCCTTCATGATGTTCTTGAGCTTCTCTGGGTGGACCTTCTTGGACGTTCGCCCCCCCTCCTTCTTGTCCTTCCGCTTGCCCATCTTGCTGCTGGTGCCCCCCTTGCCCACCTTGCCTGGCTTCTGCAACAGACCACAGAAAGAACCTTCAGAGGGAGAATTCTGATATATCATACAGCCAAAGACACTTTAATTCTTTCACCATTACTAATGTGCATCTTTAACCCAATCACTGTAATTTTTTGTGGATTACGTTGCACACAGATGGCCTGTTCAAGAAATTTACTTCACCATGTACAACTTGATTCCTAATTAGTTAAATGTTTAGAATACCTATGTCAATCTGATCAGGACAATACTGGTACCATGGATTCCTTTCACCCTCAACTGAAGGAATTATGCCATGCACTACAAACTTGGCCCTGACAGTAGTGGAGGCATAAAGGATAGACTACTAGGAAAATCACAGGGTAAAATATGGAAGAAATGCAAAAAAGTAGGTCACAAAATCAGATAATGCAGGCACCTGTACCCCCTATAAAACCCCAAGAGGGAACCTGCCCTCTCAACCTCAACCTTGGAATACAATGAATCCTTTGAGTATCTACAGCAAGGAGTCAAGGCTTAGGGTAAGTCATATAATGCAGGGAGATTATGTTTCAGGGCACAGGTTGAGGGGATGGGGCCTAACTTTTACCCTGGCATATAAGGAATTCTACATGAATCCACAGTAGAATGGAATCTTTGACCTACTTGTAGGGAGTTACAAAGAAAATGAGCTCCACATACTATACTATTTGATGCAAGAAGCTGCATCCCCTCTATGCCCTCAAGGGAAACATACTGCCCCCTAACCCCTGTCATAGAACACAAGCCCCCTAGATTTTATAATATGGTTTGTGTTATACACTCTATCCTGCCTAAAATATCAAGAAGATACTTTGTAATCCAGGATGAGGTCAGGGGCAGCAGGCTGGTAATCTTCGTGCCTCCTCTTACTAGTGAGGCCAAGTTTACGGGGTGTGACAGGGGGTTCCATAGGCATCATTCCTGTATATATATGTAGTCGAGAGTGGAAGGAATCCCTATTGACTATTTTACAGGGAGTTTAGGTTAAACATGCACAGCATGGAATTCGCAAACTCTGCTGTAATCATAGTACCGACTATATTGTCCAATGCAAAGGGTTGTGCCCCCTGCGACCCTCACCCTGGAGGGCTGCCCCCACCCAGGAAAACAAAGAATTCTTCATGTGTTCACAGCAGGAGAGAGACTCGGCACTGGGCACTCCTGCATGCCAGTCTCTCTACCCTGCTGTAGGTAGGGCGAGAATTCCACAATGCACATGAACGAATGAACTCCTGTAAAACAAGTCAATAGACATTGCATTACACTACAGTAAACATTGTCATTTTGTTACTGTAATTGGGTCCACAAAGGTATCTGAGCTATTACGAGAAAGGATAAGAAACCGTGCAGGTGCTTGGCCTCCTTGGGGACCGCATGTGCAGGGGAATGTGCTCGTCTTCGCCCGAGTGCCAAGACAAAAGGCGAAGGAATCAAAAGGGAAAAATCCTTCAAGTTCGTGAGCGGCCAATGCCAGACTCTTGGGTGTCTTGTAAATAAGAGATACATAATTACATCAAAAGTAATTCATCGCGTATGCCGCTGGAACAGAAAATTAATTCCTGAATTTATATAATTTACCAAAATGAAGTGTGAGAATTCGATACAAAGAGAACAAAAGATTATTCCCTGTTCTTCCATGTGCCATTTTATTCATAATAATCTTCAAAACTTCCGTGTTTTTATTTCAAATTATGGTATTATTGGAGAAAAGCGTAAACATAAAATCCTGGGAAACTAACCTTACAGTCGTGAAGTTTTTTAATTTTCTAAACTTTTTTCTTAAATAATCTTATCTCGCAATCGAATCATAAACAAGCTATTTAATTTTCAAAATAATAAAAAAAAAAATATTAGTCTTCTTCTTTCCTCTTCGCGAGCTCAGGAAAAACTGATCAATTTTGCTACTGCGCATGCGCGGAGTCAATCGTACGTGTAGTATTCGTGTTATTTTTCCAGTGACGTCACGACTAGTGCCATCATTTGATTGGCTAAATGTTTGGCGGTTATTTTTTCCACGAATAGGGAAACAGGGGGAAACAAAGGATACGGAAGCAACCAATCAATGGACAATATTAAGAAAGAGCGGTTTGGTAAATTAAAATTCGAAGTCAGTCTCACCATGGCTTCGCTTTGTGATGGATGTTACAACAAGCCCATGAAACTTATCAAATTATATTTTGAAGATAACGAAGCTAGCTTGGAAGTTCTACGGAATCACGGTGTTCTTCCTTCGCAAGTACTTTGCAAGCATTGCAATTTACCGTGCACGCTTCGTGATGGAAGGTGGTTCTGCAGCCGCTGGACAAAAATTGCAAAAACTAAAAGGCGGAAGCAGTGCTCCTTCACTGTAAGTGACTATAAGGGGACATTCCTCGAAAACGCTCACGTCGCTCCCTCAGATCTGGTGGTTTTTATTGTGTTTTTTTTAGAAAAAATTTGGAACCACCACATTGTATTTGAAAACCTCGGTTGGGCAGAGAGAACCAGCGTTGACTGGCGTAGCTTCTGCTCAGAGGTTACACAGAACTGGCTTAATAATCAAGAAGCAATTGGAGGACCTGAGGTCGTCGTAGAAATTGACGAGTCCTGTTTTGGCAAGAGGAAGTACGGCCGCGGGAGGCAGCTGAGCAACATCTGGGTGTTCGGAGGAATTGAGAGGGAATCTAAGAAATCTTTCTTGGTTCCTTTGGTCCCTCCTCTTTCTCCCAACAGGAACAAGGAAACACTCGTTCCCTTGATTAAGAAATTTATTCTCCCTGGCTCCATCATTTGTAGCGACGGTTGGGGAGCGTACCTTGGTCTCGACGAGGAGGGATACACCCATCGAGTCATTAATCATTCGGAGGAGTTTGTGGATCCTGGTGACAGGTCAATTCACACGCAGAACATTGAGAGATTGTGGCGGGACGTTAAGGAGTGGGTGAAACGTCCTGGGAACCGGCCACAATACTTTCAACAGTATCTATCGCGGTATTTGTTCATCAAGAACACGAAGCACCTGAGGTTCCACAAATTCCTCACCGAAGCTGCTCGGCTGTACCCTCCCCAATCAGAGCGACGAAACGTCGCCCCTGCCGTCGCCCCTGCCTCAACGGACTCGGACCCCGACGACCCTCAACCTGGTCCCTCTTCTGCTTAGGTATGTTCGATAGTTTTATTTTAAATTCCCCCAAAAAATGTAATAGGTCTTTAAGTAAGGAAAATACTCGGGCTGGGGAATACCCCGAACACCCGGGGTCCGGGGCGGAGCCCCGCACCCCGACACTCGGGGTCCGGGTTAGGTTAGGTTAGGTTAACCTAACCCCAGCCGGGGTTAGGTTAGGAATACCCCCAAACACTCGGGGTCCGTTAGGTTAGGTTAACATTGCTTTTTTCTGGGGAGGTTAGGTTAGGTTAGGTTTTATAGGTTTGTCTGCATGCCCCCCAATACCCGGGGTCCGGGGCGGAGCCCCGGCTGGGGAATACCCCCAACACTCGGGGTCCGGGGCGGAGCCCCGGCTGGGGAATACCCCCAACACTCGGGGTCCGGGGCGGAGCCCCGGCTGGGGAATACCCCCAAACACTCGGGGTCCGTTAGGTTAGGTTAACATTGCTTCTTTCTGGGGAGGTTAGGTTAGGTTTTATAGGTTTGTCTGCATGCCCCCTAATACCCGGCTGCGGAGCCCCGGCTGGGGAATCCCCCCCCCCCAACATTCGGGGGGGGGGGGGGCTGGATATGTATACACAAGTGACGAACATACTCGGCAAACGTGATAATACCACAAACAGATAAAATGACGTAGCGATAATCTCGAAAACATAGATAAAATTACAGATTTTCGACTTGTTTACTCAGCTGTCGAGTACGTTTCCGTATTCTCGAATGCAAACAAAAGACGACTAACAATAATATACGCGCAATAACAGTGATTTCTTATGAAATAATTGATTTAGTCTAATTTAAAATATGGTATTTTTATGATTTTTAGAAATATAAGCGATCGGTCTCTATATACGTAAAACCGCATTTGCGATGGATACGATAGCCAGATTCAACCTAACCAAAACAATAGAAATCGAACGAATCTAGTCTCGCCGTCGAAGGTAGTGTTTACGCTTTTTTCCAAATTTACCCAAATTATAATATAGATGAACATATAGTAAAAATACTATTAAAATATATAGCAACATTATCAATAACATATAAGACTAAAACTTACTCGAGTAAAGCAATAATTACCCAAAAATAACAGTTAAAGCTAAATTCATGAGGTCATAACAGAAAAACATCTCGTAAAAACAAGGAGATGTTCCTTTCACGTGTTCACTCACCGCCATGTTGTTGTTTACCTTTCTTGGACAAACGACGTCCAGCATGCGCAGCGGCACGCGAGAAACTATTCTTATTTCTGCGATGAATAAGTAAGGAATATGCGGTAATTTATTTCTGTATGTATTGGTATTAGTTATAACGGAGATATTATGTTTTCAATAACAAATAAAAACGAGTGACTGAGGAGAAATTAAACTTTTTCATCGCACAAAATCTAAAGAATACCTAATATCTTTTAATATATGTCTGGGTAGAGAGATATTTCAGACATGGTCTACCGCCCAGAAAGCCTCATGAGCCTTATTTCCCCCGAAGTCGCCCGATGCGAATCCGGACAAGCGCCGCGAGCCGAGCGCAGGGCAGAGGCGGCCGCGAAAAGAACGTCCGCTCGCCACTCTTCGCTGTTTTTCGCATTTTATCCCCTCTCTGCGCTTCCCCTTCTCTCTTCGAGCCTTGCCATGGATCCTGGCGAGGACGGGAAAGGTGAGACACCCTAGCTAAGGCAAATCCCCCGCGTAAAAGAGAGGAATTGGCACAGGTTCGAAAATCCGCTTAAAAAGTGCTTATCAAGCACAAAATGGCTCATTCGGCCGCCTGCGGCTGCGGCGGGAACTTCGGAATTCACGAAGGAAAACAGTTCATATCGGGAACTTTAAAATTTGATTCATCTGCAGAGTTGAATATTATTTCATCAAGGAAATCGTATTTACTTTCTGCGTTTGTCGAGTGATTTGTCTTCGCGAATCGTCTTTGTAAATCTTATTGGGACTGAAAGGAGGCGCCCTTGCTAATGTTGCTACTGTCATTATTGCTATTACTACCTTTATCATAATCATTATCATTATTATTATCACTGTCATTGTCATTATCACTATGGCTCTCATTATCAGTCTACTTATTATTATTATTATTATTATTATTATTATTATTATTGCCAATATTATTATTATTGTCAACATTGCCATTACCATTACCGTTATTATTATAATTATTGTTATTATTATTATTATTATTAGTAGTAGTAGTAGTAGTAGTAGTAGTAGTAGTAATAGTAATATGAATATTATCATTGTCATAACATTATTATTATCATTATTGTTATTATCATTATTATCATTATTGTTATTATTATTATTATTATATTATTATTATTATTATTATATTATCATTATTATTATTATTATCATTATTGTTATTGTTATTATTATTATTATTATTATTATTATTATTATTGTTGTTAATATTATTATTATTATATTATTATTATTATCATCATCATTAATATTACCCTCCTCCTCCTCCTCATCATCATCATCATTATTATTATTATTATTATTATTATTATTATTATTATTGCCAATATTATTATTATTGTCAACATTGCCATTACCATTACCGTTATTAATATAATTATTGTTATTATTATTAGTAGTAGTAGTAGAAGTAGTAGTAGTAGTAGTAATAGTAATATGAATATTATCATTGTCATAACATTATTATTATCATTATTGTTATTATCATTATTATCATGAATTATTTATCATTATTATTATTATTATCATTATTATTTTATTATTATTATTATTATTATTATTATTATTATTGTTATTATTATTATTATTATTATTATTATTATTATTATTATTATTATTATTATCATTATTATTATTATTATCATCATCATTTATATTACCCTCCTCCTCCTCCTCATCATCATCATCATTATTGTTATTGTTATTATTATTATTATTATTATTATTATTCTCCTTAGAATTGTTGATGCCGGTTTGCTCTTGGTGATATAATGGCAAAGAAGATGAAGATTATGATAATAATTATGATAAAGATAATGATAAGGATAATAATAATAATAATAATGGTAATCATAATAATAATAATGGTAATAATAATGATAATAATAATAATAATAATAATAATAATAATAATAATAATTATAATGATAATAATAGTGATAATAATAATAACAATAGCAATAAAAAATTATAGTAATAAAAAAGTTAATGATAATAATAATAATAACAATAATAATAATGATAATAACAATAATAAAGTTCATAATAATAATGATTATTATTATTATTATTCATATTGTTATTATTGTTATCATTATTATCATTACTATTAGTATTGCCACCATAAGTATCATTATTGTTGTGGAATATTATTAACAATTCTGCACTTAGTGCTTAGTAATGAAATCAATGACAGTAACTGAGTAAAGTGTAGTAATAATGGTGTTTTAGTTATTATTGATCTAATTATTATTATGATTGTTATTTTTATTTTATGTTTTTTACAAATATTATTACTTTTCCTCTTCCTTTCCTACCATGCCAGTGATGATCGTGATTATTAATGGCAGTAAAGATAATACTGATAATGTTATTAATGCTAATGCTATCATTGATAATGATGATAACGACAGCAACAACAACAACACTAATGATAATATTAATAATAATATTAATAATAAGTATCATTATTATTATAGTAGTACCAGTAAAAGTAATAGTAATGAAAATGATGATAGGAAGAAGAAAATGAAGAAAAATCCACTATTGTACTACTAATAATGATAATAAGAAAATGATTGTTGTAATACAAATGATAATTATGATAGCAATAATAGTGACGATGATAATGATAATGATGATACTAGCAATAATAGTAGTAATAATAATAATAATTGTTATTGTCATAATATAATGACAGTGCAATAATAAAAGAAAGGAAGATAATAACAATTAAATTATTACTGCAAATTATTAAATAGATAATGAGATTACTGTTAGTGACATTTTTCTATTGTTCATTTTATCATTAAACATTATTATTATTATTATCATTATTATTATTATCATTATTATTACTATGATGATGATGATAATGATGTTTGCTGCTGTTGTTATTAATATGATCATTTTTATCATCATTATTATTATGAGTATTATCAATGCTTTTATTGTTATTATAATTAACATTATTGCCATTATCTTTAATATCATTATTGTTATTATTATGATTATCATATTTATAACTGCAATTATTATCCTCAGCATTATTGTTATTATTATTATTATTGTTATCATCATCATCGTCATCATTATTATCATTATAATCTTGATCGTGAGCCCCTCCCCCCCCGTGGCAGTGTCCCTGGAGGGCGCCGCCGCCGCCTTCGCCGCCGTCGCCAGCGCCCCCTGCGCCCTCCTGGCCGCAGCCTCTCACGCCGCCGACGCTGTTGCGCTCCCGCCGGAGGTGGCCGCCGGGTCCGCCCAGAGAGGCGCGGGCGGCCCGCTGGCGGCCACCGTGTCGCTTCCCGCCGCGGCGGTGGCGCCCCTACAGCCCGAGGCCGACCCTGAGTTCCACTGGGGGCGCCGCCAGATCCTGTCCCTTATCGCCAAGGTCGAGGACTTCTTCGAGGACTTCTACGACGGCACCAAGAAGAAGAAGATGATCTGGAAGGCCGTCGCAGAGAGGATGCGCAGGGAGGGCCACAACTGCACGGGCGCCGAGTGCGACAAGAAGTGGAGGAACCTGAAGGTGCGTCCGCGAGCCCGCCCTCGGACCTCCTCCCGTCCGCGAGCCCGCCTGCTCTCCCCTCCTGGAAATCTTCCAGCTCTTCCTAATCGTTTTCAGTCACTTTCCAGTTAGAGCTGTCCTCCTCCTCCACCTCTTCCTTACTAATCTGTGCTCCTTTAAATTGGCCTTCCTCCTCCTCCTTCTCCGCCTCCTCTTCCTCCTCCTCTTCCTCCTCCTCCTCCTTCTCCTCCTCCTCCTCCTCCTCCTCCTCCTTCTCCTCCTTCTCCTCCTCCTCCTCCTCCTCCTCCTCCTCCTCCTCCTCCCCCTTCTCCTTCTCCTTCTCCTTCTCCTCCTCCTCCTCCTCCTCCTCCTCCTCCTCCTCCTCCTCCCCCTTCTCCTTCTCCTTCTCCTTCTTCTCCTCCTCCTCCTCCTCCTCCTTCTCCGCCTCCTCCTCTTCCTCCTCCTCCTCTTCCTCCTCCTCCTTCTCCGCCTCCTCCTCCTCCTCCTCCTCCTCCTCCTCCTCCTCCTCCTCCTTCTTGTTTGGCACTCACTCTCACACACACACACACTCACTCACTCACTCACTCACTCACTCACTCACTCACTCACACACTCACTCACAGTCACTCATATTTTGCGATGTTTTTTTTTTTTTTTTTTTTATTATTCTTATTTTACATTTCACTCCTCCATCCGTGTTTTTTCCTCCTCGCCAGGGAACGTACGTCAAGGTCCTTCAGAAGCAGATTCACGGCGACACGAGCTACCGCTTCGAGTATTTCGACGCCCTGCACCATATACTCGGGAAGGAGATCGACCCCCTAGGAATGAGGGAGCAGGCGTAAGCACCTTGAGGCTTTACTTTAGTTGGTGCTCAAATTGGGTCATTTTCTTTCGGAGCATTTCGTTTTCTTTTGATTAGTTTTGAGGCCCTACTTTTGATTTTCGTATAGGATTGGCGCTAACGCAAAGTTTGCATGTGTGTGTGTGTGTGTATGTGTGTATGTGTGTGTGTGTGTGCGTGTATGTGTGTGTGTGTGTGTGTGTGTGTGTGTGTGTGTGTGTGTGTGTGTGTGTGTGTGTGTGTGTGTGCGCGTGCGCGTGCGCGTGTGTGTGCGCGTGTGTGTGCGCGCGTATATGTTACCAGTTCCCTTATTTTTACGTTGCAGAATGTCCCGCGGCCCGGAGGAGGAAATGCAAGGGACCTCTGACTATCATGAGATCACGGTGGATGGTAAATAACGCGTCTTGGGGATGTTTTTCGTAAATGTGGTCGTTGAGTTCCATGGGGAGATAAATAGTCAGACAGATGAAAGGACTGGTTAGCAGTCTGAGAGATTCACTGATAGATAATCAGATTTAGAGACAGACAGGTGAATAGAGTGACTTACAAATTGAAATATTTAGTGACATATAACCAGATTTAGAAATAGATGAGTAAATTGGTTACCAGCCAGGGAGATTTACTGATAGATAATCAGATTTAGAGATAGATAGGCGGGTGAATAGATGAAATAAACAGATAAAGAATGAGAACGAGTAGACGGAGAAGATTGTAACTATGAGAAAAGTGAGCGTCCTTGTGCCCGCCAGGGAACTTCGTGTGGACGGAGGCCGCGGTGCACCTGCTGCTGGACCTCGTTCTGGAGCACAGAGGCCTGCTGATGGCCGCCGCCGACTACGCAGACGAGCCGTGGGAGGCGAGTGTTGCATTGATCCTTATCATTAGTAGGAATCTCATCATTGTTATTATTTCTGATCACGCAGACGAGTCGTAGGAAGCAGGTGTTGTGTTTAGATTCAACTGTTTTTTTCATGAAACTTGTTGGTGTGCTATTTGTCATATATTCATGTACGTTCATTATAATTGATATTATATAATATTAAACGCAGAAAGAGGGAAATAACAGTAGCGTAGTGAGGACGACAGCACTCCTACTAATAATGCAACTCGTCTAAACCCAGCTCTTGGCCCTCTCCAGGAAATCGCTCACCAGATGGGGGAGGAGTGCCAGGAGGTGCAGGGGAGCCAGTGCCAGCGCAAGTGGCTCAACCTCCAGGAAGGATTTCGCTTCCACCAGGTTAGGGCTGGAGGATAGCAGGGTGCGGGAGGGCTCTCGTGGACGGTGAGAAGCTCTGAGTTTATGTGATGGCGCTCTGGTGGAGGTGGGCTTCTTCGCACTCGGTAGTGCTTTGTGGTATTTGATTATAGAATACGATATTGCGCAGTGTGATGGTAAGAAGGGATATAATGACAAGGAAAGTACTGGCAAGACTGCTAAAGCTAAAGTCGATTATTTTACCATCAAATAATTCATAATAATTTCATTATATGAACCGCAGTCTTATGGTATAATTTCCCTACATTTTCCTCCTCTATCACACGTTAAAGCAATGCTGCTGCTGCAGAGAAGCTTCCTTTCCCCAGCAAATGCTATCTGCTCAGCCCTGTCGCTAACACTTCCGGCGTCGTGTTCCCGCAGGCGGAGGCGGAGGTGACGGCGTCGGTCCCGCTGTGGCCTTACTTCACGCGCGTCAGGCACGTCATGATGTCGCTCAGTATTCCGACCACTCAGGGTACGTCATGTGCTGGGAACCCTGTGGCAAGAGGGCAGGGAAGCCTAGTTTTGATTTATTATTATTATTTTTTTATTATTTATTGATTTATTTGTCTTACGGAGTTTCCACCGCTTAGGCAGTGATGAACACGTTTGGTCTTCTATTTTTTCCATCAACATTTTGTAGCATATTTTGGTAAGACTATGATCCTCATTCGTATTTGATACGCTTCCTCTACTTCCCTCTCATTACTTTTTAAAAAATGTCCATCGTACTTACCTGCCAACCTGCGAATCACTCATTTGCCTTCCAACCCAATCGCCGCCCACTTCCGGCCTGCCTCCCCGCCCACCGGGCCGTCCGCCCGCCCAGCCAGCCTTCCTCCCTTGTCCTTTTCTCCTTTCTTCTTCCTTTTCTCCTTGCTTCCTCCTTACCCCCTTCCTTCCTCCTTTCCTCCTTCCTTCTTCCTTTTCTCCTTTCTCCCTCCCTCACCGCTCTGCCCCCTCCCTCAGCGCCTGTGGACCGGAAGCCCATCCTCGGCCTCGGCAGCACGGCGGAGACCCCGAGCAGGAAGCCCCGAGGAGCAGTCCTGGGCGGAGGCCTGGGCTTGCGCACGCCCTCGTCCTCGTCGTCGGCGGGAGCGGGCGGCGCGGCGCGGAGGGGCCGGGGACTGGCGGGGCGCGTGCGGCAGTTGGAGGGCCACACGAGCCTCAGCCGCCGCCTCGACCACCTGGAGGCGCGCGTGGAGACGTCGCGGCTGCAGCGCGAGGCCTACAAGCAGACAAACTCCATTCTGACGAAGGTCCTGGCGGAGCTTAGGAGGATCAACGGCATCCTGGAGGAGCAGCAGGAGCAGCGCTTCCAGCCCAGCCACCACATCCACGCCGGAGGCGGCCAGCGGCAGCAGCACCACGACCAGGAGCCGGGCAGCCCCAACCAGGGTATCATCATCGTCGAGGCCTACGACCAGCTCTAGGAACGACCACGCGCGTACAAACACGGACGCTCACACACACACATACACATACGCATAGAGGTGGCATATCTTAGTGGTGGAGCGCTGGCTTTGGAGACGCAAGTTCCTGGGTTCGCGCCCGGTCGCCCCTCTCAATCCTCTCGGCTGTGAGTGAGTGCTGGCATGCTGACTCTAGCATGCTGGGTCAAAGTAGGGGCAGAAAGGAATAAGTGACCCCACCGCATCACGCCGCTGTTTAATACGCATGTTCCGCTCCGGACACGCCCCCTGTCCTCTCGGATATGGAACCAACTTTGACTTTGGTAATGTGAATACACACA